AAAACTGGAGGTGCAGGATGATCAAATTATCTTGTAGCGGAGTGACCTCAGAGAGGGCAGGGGCTGTAACATTCACAACTAGATGCAGCAGTTTCCATAGAAACTCAGAGTAATCTTAACCATTTTCTCAGTAAAACACAAAGTAACCAGGGAAAGGAGATCCAGTGGTGCTTTGAACCTTAACAAAAATAATTAAAGCTAAACAACCACGCTCAGTGTGCTGAGAAAACTGCAAGATCTGTCATTTTTATTGGTAGTAAAAAAGTTTATTTATATATGGGAAGTAAATGGGAGATGACTTCACATTTCAGTGACTTAATTTGCAAGCTTTATTGATGAGAAAAAGATTGCTACTATCTGTTTGTAATTTCCAGTGTTGATGATGCCCATACAGAAATACCTAAAACTAAGAACCAGCATTTAGTTTGTGTCACTGTTGGATTATTAAAGTATTCTCAAGTCTTTGAGTGATTAAGCCCAATGTCTTCTCGTCACATTTGTTTCTGTTGCAATAGCTATACACAGACTGCAGCTTAATGTCATTTTGCTTGTGATTTAATCTGACCGTCTGGCCAGGCATGTGTAATTTCATCTACAACTGTCTCCAAAACAGCTCCCATAATATCTGGAGATGAACTGAAATGTAACTCCCTCCTGCTACAAAGGTATTATGTGGAACCAGCCTTAGTCGCTGGCTAATTAAATACACCCAGATTTGTCTTTTGAACAGATGGTGTTGATCCGAAATTTGAATAAAGTATAAATAAAGTCATGGGACACCAGATGTCTCTTTAATGTGTCAAATTGTGCTGTTTGCTTCTTTTTTTCTGTTTTGTATGTATTAAACTGAGTTTTATATAATTCAAAGTCTGATAAGGAGCCAAATAGTGCTGAATGTTTTGGTTTGAGGCCAAGTTCTGGATAAAAAGAGGCGGACGACTTGTTTCCGTCTGGTTTCCTGTAATCCGTGCTGACCCTAGCAATCCAGCTGACCACTTCCACCTCATCTGCACTTTGCCCCTCAATGGCCTACCCACCCTTTTATCAAGACCTAAGCACTGTTCCCTCCACACCCACGCTTTACCAGCTGTAATTTAATTTGATGAAATATGTTTATACCCAGAAATATAAAATTAATTCCTGCAGAACTGTGACTTAATAACAAGTGAGAGTACTTGGCCTACTTTATTCTACTGCCAGTAGGTGGTGTCATTTATTCTGATTGATGTTGGCCAGTCTGTTTTCTTAACAACCAGATTCCTCATCCCCGGGTATCTGAACAAGTCATCCTAGCTGGCAGGGCAACACATGACAGCGCGTCTAAATACAGCATCGAAATTTCAAGCGAAGGCTGTCAACTGAAGACAGGTTTTGCGTTTTGTGAAAAAACAGAGCGACGGTTGTAATTATTGCTCACACTGTTCGAAATAGAGCCAAAACAATGTTGTTCTCCTTTGTATCCACTGTCCACTCTCCACTTGTCTTCTGTATTTTTAGCCCTGTCAGAGATTCTTCCAGATTGACCAGGACAGAGTTGAATGGTGTGACGGTTCACACTATTCTAAATTATTTTCCAAAGCAAACAAGTACAAAGACATACAATGAATGCATAAAGGTTCTTTCTTTTTACCTTTAGGCTATCACAAACAAAGGTGCTTATGTGACATTTGTTTAATACAGTGCTTACATGAACAATTCAAATTTACATATGAGTAGAAATATACAGTACAAATAGAAAAATAATTGTATATACAGCACCAAATATTAGTGGGCACACAAACCAACGTATTTTGTGTCACTCGCTGGAGTGACAAAAAGCATAGGCTGACAGCATGGCTGTCTTCTGGGAGAGGGACATTTTTCCCCGCAGCAGAGAGAGGTAGGTTTTCCCTTTAATCTTTCAGAAGGCAGAAGGGAAATCACTTCACATCTCCAAGAAACAAGAAACAATTTCTGGTCACCTTCCATCATTTTTTTTTTGTTTTGTTTGTTTGTTTAGTGTCAATATACTGGCACGATATAGCTTTAAAATGAACAACAATGCGGCCAAAGTGTACTACATATATAATGTGGACTATACAGAGGCGAGAGTATAAGCGTATACACGTTACCTATCTTGCTTTTGGCATCCTTTGTTTCCCACAGTAAACTGACGAATAACCATCTTTGTTTCCTCTCTGTGCCACCAAACATCCTTCTCTTCCACATCTGTGACAGGTCCACCACATCTGTCCACAACTCATGCCCATCATTGTTAGAGCAAACCCTAATCCGGGTGAACGGATCTGATAGCAAAGCGAGACAGCCCGTGTAATGTAAATCTTAACTTGTCTTGATCAGAGGATACTAAAACAATGGCCCACCTATAAATACTTTTATGAGCTTTGTGCATTTGACATTTACCTTAAAAAAAATTATAAATGCTTGCAGTATGCCGGTGTTTGCAAACACACTGATCTAAGGTTCAGAGAAGACTTATTCCTCTCCTATTCAATTTAAATTCTCGCCATGGATTCCAGTAATGCATCATGTTCCTCGACAATATTACTGCTTTGTTCAGGATGGCTGATCCTAATCTAACTGCTGGGGCAACTACTCACTGCCACATGTAGTGAAAGGAATGACTTCCCAGGTTCCTTGTTTTTCTCCATTACCTCCTAACTATATTTCTCTTCCTTCATTAGCATGCAAGACAACATCTAAATGCACACTGAGCCGCAAAACATGTCAAAAGAAAAGGGACCGACTCTTTGCAAGTGTACTGAGGTTGGGCAGGATGACAGATGCAGCCTTGAATTTGGCAAGTTGGCTTTCAAAAGGTCCTCGGTGGGATTGGCATTCGATGTTAACTGTTACCCCTGGGTATACAGACACATTTTCCTTAGCAAGCTTGACTAAACCAGTGGAGACAATCAATGCAACAGTGATCTATAGTAGCTCTCAAAGGTAAAGAAGTGTCACTAAAGTCCTTCGCGTGGAGACAAATTGTCTTCTCTGAAATTGCTATACATTGTATACATTGCACTTACTCCCTGCGGGAGTTACGTTTTGAACCTCATGTTACATTCAGTCACACAAAAGAGAATGATTAAGACAGAGTAAAATGCCATTGTTTATCTCATCCTGTGAGAAAGCACCTATTCACAGATGTGGCGCTGAGCGCAGCTACATTCACTCACTCTTCCTAAAAGAAAATGTGAAGGAAAAGGAAACCTCAGAGCCACTTAGAGCCTACCTATTACTCAATTTTCACTAGAGAACAGCCTTGTATCCTATTTTCACACAGGATTTAGCGACTCACTTTTAATCAACATTTTTTCCACAGCTGGGGGAAAAAATTAAAACAACCAATTCCTTTGGCACAGATAGATAAAGACTGCATGAATGTCTGCGGACTGTGAGGTTGTCGTGTAAGTGTGTGTCTTAATTTGAGCATAATAAGTCTGTCCACACATCTCCTGGGCTATACAACAATGGAAAATGAGTGTGATTAAGTCAGAAGCTGGCAGTGTACAATGAGAAACAGATTTGAAGAGTCCTGTTGGGTAAAGAGAGAAAGCAAAGGGGGGTAACTCTTGGAGTGGGGGAATGTGGCAGAGCTTTTTTCCATGAGTGGTTGCTCAAGGCACCAAACGGGAGGGGCCCTAGGGGAGCAGGATCAGTCAAAGTGTCCCTGCCGTGGCATGTCCCCTATGGCAGTGTCCTTCAATAATCCTGGACTCCTTTGTATGGAGTTGAGGTGTCCCACAAACACATAGGGCTGAGTGTAAATGCTCACTTATTGAAAAGAAAGGCAATCAAGTCAGTCATAATTAGGTCCCCAGTCCTTTGTAATGCGAAGCTGAAGCTACAAAAGGCCTTTCAGGGTATGTCGCTTTACTTAAAATGCTTTCTTGTTTGCCATGGACATGGCCATATGTGCAAATCTCTTTTTCCTTCATTGTGAGGACCAAATTCCAAAAGTCTCTCAGTTGACCTGGATCTTAATTTGAGCACACACAAACACTTTGCACTCCTCCAGCAGGTCCTCTACCCTCTCCAACTGATCGTCCACACAGATGCCAGTAAGATCCAGCAGGACTCAAGTTCCAATCTCTCATTGCGCAAAAAAAAGCCCCCAACACATTGCTGTAGTGTCACAGGACGAGTGAATGACGTTGGCCGCTGACGTGGGTGCGTTGCTTTTTCGGCCGGGTATCAGGTTGCCGTCTTTGGCCCGTTTGTGGCCTCTTGGAGAGTCACCTGTCCTGATACAAGGAATGCTGTGACTGACGTGCCTAGTGACGCCAGCACTGACTCCAGCAGCAGCTCTGCATAGCGTGTTAGGTGTCTGTGTGAGCTCCCGCTGTAACTGCTCGTGCGTAAGTCATCAAAGGCCTGTTAGTGTGTGTAAATATGCATGCAGTGTCCAATGCATATTTTGCACATCTCCTCGGAGGTTGTTTTGACACCGGACACCTGCTGTCTGATGATAAAAGAGCGTGTGAGGCACTGGTGATCTCTCATTGCCAATCCAAAAAAATCTGATGCAGACCTCACAGACTAAACAGATCTTCGGCGTCATGTTTATCTGTCCTTTTGACCCAAGCTATCTCCAACATGATTTGAATTCAACTTTGTAACTTCAGAGAATGGAGGGACGTTGCATTGGGAGGTGAAGTGAAGAATTTCTGGCCAAACCTTGAGCTCCCAGCTCTAGGCATGTTCCTCTATCATACCCCTGTGTTCACTCACAGGGGACACTGCTCAGACGTGAATGAGCCCCCCTCTTTCTTTTTCCTTCTCTTCTTCTTGTGGACAGTCCAACAAGCAGTTGCCATCATTAACAGCAAAATACCCATGACGAGTAGCACAACTGACACCACTTTAGTCTGAGGCAGGTCATTATAAGTGTAGGTCACTCCTGTTCCTGCTACACCGATAACTAAAGAGATGATTCCAAATGGAAAGATGCAGCGGTACCAGGACTTCTCCATTCCTCCAGTAGCCTGAGATAGACGCTCCAGAGAGGAGAGCACCTCGGGCACTTTGGCCCCACCAGTCTCTAGCGATTGACCCTCCTGCCCCAAGTTGGTCTGCGGCTGTGGTTGGCAAGCCAAATGGCCTGTTGTACAGCCCATCCTGACTGTGTGGGCTGGCGTATCCTGACAGGATCAGCAGCGTTGGCTTCTGGGATCCTACTTGTAGGTAGCTATGGCCTGGAGAGACAGAACGAGACAAACGGAGGCGGAAAAAAGGAGAGGAAGGAGAAGGAGGTCTGTATGAGACCAAAGAAACGACTTGAGCAGGTATGGCTTGAACATGTCCGATGAAATCTTCTAAAATCAGCTGAAATCCACTCACACTTTCCTCTTCTCTGCCTCCCTCTCTTGCTGTTTCTCTGTACACTGTCTGCCGGCTCTCTAGTAGCACATTGTACACTCTGCAGAACGTAGTGAGGGGGGCATATATATATAAAGGCTTAAGGAAAGAGGAGGGGCTAGGGAGGAAAAACTGGGAAGTCCAAGTGCTACGATTCGTTAGCTCATTGGTGACATCAAACACTGAAGTAGGGAGAACAGGGGTTGACGAAACACAGGAAGGGGGAGGGGAGGAGAGTTAACTGCTCTCTCTATTCTTCATGCTCCCATCACTGCCTCTCAAATGCAGCATCTTTGTTTTCCTGCAGTATAAAACGTTCCCCATGGGAACGCAGAAGCCTAGTGTTGACTTGAAATTAGACGCGAATGGGAAATCCTTATTTATCTCTATGTTTACTGAAAAAAGAAAAGGGACATTCCCAATATAGATCGCTACAGATGTGTCATCTCTTCATGGGAATCACACAGTCACAGTGATTCCATCCCCATCACGTCAACATGAGTCAGTCATCAATTTTTATATATATATATATATATATATAGGGCCTCTATTAATGTAAATACAATGATGAAAATATTGACTCGTAGCAGAAATACTCATAAAAAAATACAGGCAGCCTCCACCTTCCCTCCCACACACACATGCACACACACGGCTGGAGCCAGTTCTTTCTGAATGGAAAGCAGCCTAGTAGTAGTTAATCCGCTTGTATGCTCGCTCTTCCACAAAAAAAAAGAATTAAATAAAATCAATCTAGACACCTTTCATGTCCAACGTTTGCTAATCTTCCTCCTCCACATTTATAAAGCTACGTTTGTGAAGGACACACAAATCTGATTGTCTGTTTTATCTTCAGGCATTACTGGGTTTTCTACGACAGCATGTTAGCCTTTTAATGCTTCCAAGATTTTTTTTTTTTTTTATCAGCTCAACTTATTCTTGATAATATGATAATCAGAGATTTTACCAGAATAGAAAATACGTCATGCTCCCTTATAAATGCTAAACAGGCTTCCTTCTGTACAGGACAGCTGCTGTTAAGACCGTGTATGGGTTGTCTTGACAGAAAAATTCAACTTGACTGCCTGATCAGTGGGGGGAAATCAAAAAATATACCCTAATGTTGCCTAACTGATGACTACATTGACTTAACAATCTCGGCTGTAGCTCAATCAGCAACAGCTATTTAGAACAGCCAAAGAGAAATAAAAGAGGGGAAGTGAGGAATGTCTTTGTGAGGAGTGGGGGCGCAGTAGAAAAGAGACGTTCAAGCGCAATGGGCATTTGAAGGACAGAAGTGGATTCTTGGTAGCTCTGTTGGGTTTCTGGGGATTTGTGCTTAGACTCCAGTAAGTGATTAAAAGTGAGATGACTGGAGGAAAAGAAAAAAAAAAGAGTGGAAGCTCCAAAGTATTTGAACTTTTCCCCTCTGTAAGTGTGTGTGTATGCGTGGCATATGGCAGTAATTTCCATGAAGTTTCACCCACGGACAGTAAAACTGTCTTGCATCTTCCATTATGTGTCACAAAGAGGCGTGAGAAAAATGGGATAAAGGCGTGAGGCATGCATAACCTTGGGAGGACCGGGCCATGCTGGAAGAGTGGAAGAGCTCTGCTGGTGACAGGCAAAGCCAGGCAGCAGCTGATGCATGCAGGTCACAGGAAGGCTGAGCTGCATGAGCACCACTCCCACTAGGAACTATGTACAGTGTTGACCCAAGGATACTTCCATGCCTCCTTTTTTTTACCTCCCTCACACACATAGACAAACACAGATCTAAGACTATGTGAGGCCATAAACCAGCAGCACTCTGATCCAGTGCCCTGCAGATGACTGCAATCCAAAAGTAGTTGGACATTTCTGTGTGAACAGGTCTTGTAAACATGCAAATGTATTCTTCTTTGAACCCAGGAACAGACGTTCAAACCATCAGGCCCTTGTTCTTTTGGACTCATCCAGCCATCTGAGGCTGAAATACTCCTCCTTTTTTCATATAATCATTTTTTTGTCCCTCTCCTCAGGGAAACATGCCATTTCCAGCTTGCAGCATGCTGCGATGCCAGGCACACCCAAGCACATCTTCTTTATGACTCAGCCGGCTCTGGGTGTGCATGTCTCCCTGTTTGTGTGCGTGCGCATGAAGGGCCGGTGCAACAGGGCTTCAACACCCACGTCCTGCTGCGAGAACCCAGCGCCACCTGTCGCCCAGTCTGGCACAGCTCCTGCCATCCACCCGTCATCTGTGGGCACGAGCCTCTAAGGCTCCTCCAGGCGCTCCTGAATCTCACGTACAGCCTCATAGCACATTTGATCGTGAATACCATATCACAGAAACACAGTGATGGCCCCATATATGCGATCTAGCAGATGTATGTATGAAAGATTATGCTGGCTCAATATGGGGGATCAAAAACATATGGAAAAACAGTATGGAAGTGTGTGTGTGTGTGGTGGTGGCACATTTCTTCTTTCTTTTTTATTTAAACACTGAAAATGAATGATATGAAGTGAAACACACAGGTAAACTTGCAAGGGCATCTTTGATTAAAATGTAATTTGGACTCTTTTTTTTCTGTGAATTGAGTGCCACCTGCTGGCAAAATTCACCGAGTGAATATTACACTTCTGAGGCATCAGTTACGATGTGTCAGAATTTAGCAAAAAGGAAAAATTAGAAACAACTCAAACATATAATTTAACCTACAGCTTACATCACAAATACACACACTTAAAGTCACTGTAATATGTTTCAGTTACCATTTTATTAGGTGCACCTGTTTATCCATCCATTAATATTTCCATGATATCTTTAGGATCACGAGATGTAACACAGAGCATCGAACCCATCCAGCAGAACCTCCTGAACCACAGCTGCCCTCTGAGGCTGTTCACTCAATTCAGTTCCCCCCTTTGTTTTTTTTTAACCATGTCCTTGTTTTGACTATGTCAGAGGGGTTTGATTTCATCAGTGTTGCACCAGATTGCAGCATACCACGAGGCCTTTAATGTATTCATACCTGTTTCTAAGCTTACAAACCTATAAGTCTGTTTAATGTGCTCATTAGTCATGCAGGCTCAGAGTCCAGGACTATAGCTGGGAAACGTTCCCCTCCTTCACCCAGCAGGGAGTACATGTCTCTGAGTACGCTGGGGCTCAGATGTTCAGGCCCAGGTACGACAGCCGAAAACTGAGGGGACAGGGTGTCCAACAGAGCCTGTGGGACATCAGAAAAGACTGTCAGCCAGTTCCTAGCTTCTACTAAAAAAAGAACATGCAGGTATGTAAAACTCACGAGGTGCTTTCAGAACACGTCACCTACCTGTTCAAGATCAACCTCTTGTTGCAGCAATGCCACCCTCATCCGCAGCTGCTCAAGCTCTTGCAGCTCTGCCTCTGTTGCATATGTTATAGTCAGGGGCAAGGGTGAAGTTCTCCCATCTCCCTGCACACCATTTGCCCCAGTGGGGCAAAAACAACCTCCCTCTGGCCTCCATCGATCCCATGCTTTCCACTCTGACGGAAAAAAAGGTTATTTTTAGAGCGCGAGCAACCATACCCCTAAAACTTTTTTCTTTCTGCTCTGTTGCCTCAGCTTTAAATAGCTAGGCCCTTGCTTAGTGGCATCAGGACAGACAGCTTTAAAACCCCATCGTCATGGGGACGAGGGGGTGAGGGGGGTCTGTTGAGGCCAAGGAAAGGACTGAGCTGGCGCTGAGGGTTCACGGCAGCTCTGCTTTCATTTTCCATACGCCAAGATGGAGAGGCTCCATTAGCGCGTTAGCACGCTGCACTCACCATAATCATTTTCTAAATGCTGTTAAAAAGCAATAAAAGATAATTCCCTCCCTGGATATTACAACGCGGTGAAATAAAAATACTAACGTGAGATGCTAGATTGGATGACACCAGACGTGTGGACCTATTCATTACTGGAAACTTCTCTGACACACTGGATTTAGTTGCTACTTGTGCTACATTGGTGCTTTAACGAGTAAACATCAATAAATCTTTGTGAAGGTGTGAATGGAAAATCTCTCGTCATTCAGGTTCTTTATAACTGCATCAGTGGAGGAAATGGAAATGCTGCTGTGCTGCATATTATAGGTACAGACTCAAACTGGGATGCCCATAGACGATGACCCACATGGAAAAGAAATCGCAAAATGTATGTAACACTGGTTAAACACAGCCAAAAACCATGTCATGATGTCTCCACCAGCATCTCCTTTAGGAAAGTCAGTGCAAAGGAATAAATATTTTTGATAAGGTGTCTTCCAGCTAATGACCACCTGTCTACAAACAAAGATCAATGATCTGCAATTAATGCTGGAGAAACAATTATTTTACAGAAAGGTTTATGATGTTTATTATGCTGCGTACAAACAGGATTCTTACCTTGTTTCACTTGATCTGCAAAATTCTTGAGCTCAGCTGCTGTGAGCTGCAACCTTTCCAGCGACATACAGGAATCATACTTGTCGCCTGTACTAACTGTAAGAAAGCACATTAAAAAAAGAGAGTTATAATAGAAGCTTACTGAGAAGCAAGTGGAGTTGCATTAAAAGTGTGTTTACAGTCACTCTTAGCGCATGAAAGTTGTTACAATTATAGAAAAACGTCAACTCCCTGATGGTTCCTGGCAAAGGAAAGTCTTGATTTGTATCAGTCGAAATAGCTCACACAGTCACTTCCTGCCAACTCCCACATTGTTATTTTGTCACCCACTGACTTATGGAATCAGTCCCTTTCATTTCTCCCGAATTCACATAAAAGCTTCTCTATTACCCAGTCTTAATGTTATCTCTGGCATCTGTTTGGTTAGAGGCTCCCCGCAGAGCTGTTTCAAGTCTTGAGCTTGGTGAATCAACCTGTCCAGCAGAGCCCTGGTCTCATACGGGCTGCCAAATGGCCAATTCCTGGGAAACTAAACAAAGCAAAGGAAAAATGGTGTACAATGAAACACAGGGGTTGTTTAGAGAAATTAATGTATATTAGCTAGAATTTCTCATTAAAACACTTGGCTGATTTTCTAAATTAGAGCATAAATTC